CTTTTGCATCCAGTGGACTCCTTTACTTCACAGCGATGTCAATCAGCCGTCCCTGAAAGGCCAAACTCGCTAACATAGAGGAACCTCAGAGCACAATTTGCCCCCCAAAATGATCCAAACAGTGTTTGTTGAGACATATCAAAGTCTTTGTTAGCAAGATTTACAATCTTCTCAACAAAGGCGACTGAATGTTGAGGCGCTAATGATCTGCATGCTGCAGGGATGTGATGGATCCTTCGATACAGACTTCAAACAAACAAAACCAAAAACTGAAGTGATAACAGGAAATGGACTCAAATATGTCATTTGTTCTGATTATTGTTGACTCAGATGAAACCCGTCCAAACAGACGTCCTACAAATCCATCCTATTACTACCAGGTCCCTTCCCCCCCTTTCACGTCACAAACAGGCATATCATCAGAAATGAAAGCTTCAGACGTGCTCTGTGTTTTTGACAAACTGGAGATGATGATTGGTCTGAAAGCTCCGCCCACCCTCCGCAGTTGGAAAGCACGCCGAGCTCATCACATCCGATTGAGGCAGATGGCGAGTCTGCTTTCAGGGGACGAGAAAACTGAAGTCAACACAAAAATACAAATTGCAAACGGATCCCAGTAAATGATCGTCGTGTTTGCTGTGCTGTTGTTCAGCTCACAGTGAGCAGGGTTCAGCAAGCAGCACAATATTTGGTTTTCTCACCATCACATCAGGACAACAGACTAATGGAGGGAAGAATAAACAAAGAACCAAAAGAATTTCAAACCTTTTTGCAGGGTTGTTAATCACAGTTCAGGCACATGACAGCAAAGTCATCTCCTGTATATTTTAGTATGTCAGAAATATAATTTACATTCATCCAGTTTCAGAAAAAAGGATTTTTAATTGTTGAAGCGAGTACAAATCAATGGACAGATACGAGAATTTGTTCAACTTAAAAGATCTGAACGTGTATTTTGGACCAGTGACAGTCAATCAGAGCTTTCTTTGATCAAGTCCTAATTATGATGAGTTACAACAACTAAAGATGAACTTAATGAGAAATGGATGATTTAGAGTCAAACTGAAAGGCTCAAACGGTGCAGAGGTTCATTAACTGCTGACGTCTGCATGGCTTTTAATTAGAAACGTGTTTTAATGTGAAAAAGTTCAGAGAGAGTCAGGAGCTGGGTACAGTGACACAGTATTTATAGTTGACACGAGGATTGTCCAAACTGCAGCTGTAAATGACTCTGGAGGGTCGCCCTGACCACGCGTCCACCTCCAGTGATGTTCTGCCATTTTTATTCTGCTCCAGGCTCTCTGATGTTTACTTTCTGCTCCAGTTTGAAGCCCACGGTGACGCTGCAAAAGTTCAAATGTTCCTCATTCAGCTTTTTCTGGTTTGACCTGATACCATCCAGTATGAAGTAGTGATCCGATACCAGTCAATCAATAATCTCCATCCCTCACTGTGGGAATGATTTGGGAATAGTTCTTTATGTCTAAGCAAGTGTGAGGCTCAGTTTAAACAGGCCTGTTAGGATCATTACTCACTGCTTATAAATCATTTGGTTGTCTGAGATGTTTCATGGATACACACCTGGTGGGTCTGATCAGGGCTGGGTTTTGATGATCAATTTATCGATTAAAATCGATTCTGGCTTGGATAACGTGAAATCAATTCATTAAAATCCTGATTTTTTTAATATAAATTTATTTTGCCCGAAATGCCAGAATCTCAGGTTAAACCTCACAAAATTTCAACAACCACCAAACATTTAAAACAGTAACTGAGAGCAGGAACACGGATTCTGCACAGAGACGTAAACACAAAGCTCGACTCGCCGACGCATCAGAATCAGCGAGATGTCGCCTTTCTTACCCGACGGCACGGACACGGTCGGGGCTGAAAGCCGCTCGCTGACTCTGATGTTTCGGCGAGTCGAGCTTTGTGTTTACGGCCTTTTTGCACTCGATTCTAAAGCTGCAGGTTTTTCTCTCTCCAAACAATATTGACTGAACCAGCAGCAAAAGAAGATCCAAACTTCGCTTCACATAAACAACGTCATGAATTCACTCTGACTTTTGCTGTTTTGCTTCCACCAGGATAAAATCATGCACAGCTCTCTCTCTCTCTCTCTCTCTGTACTTCAACAACAGTTTCCCGTCTAAAAATCTTTTTTCTTCATTATTCGCTTGCTTGTTACACACAAGTCTATGTTGTTTACAGGCTGTCGGCCGATGTTTTTTCCTTTTACTTGCTTCCGAAAAGAAAACCTAATTTCTGCCGTTCAACAGGCTGCTGAACAAATGTAAACTTTTTACAGTTGTGCAAAATTGCAAAACTCTCAGCTGTGTCTGTAATAAAAACCTCTGTAACTTTGCTCTGCTTCACTTCAGCAGCATCAGGTAACATTCATGTGTAGATTCATGGTTTTGTTTTTGATCTGCTGCAGAATATTTGTATAAGATCGCAGACCAGGAAAATCTCCTTCATGTTTTTCTGTCTCAGCTACTTTGACACAAAGGCCTCTGCTGTGATGTTTACACCGTTGATAAAGTCTCACAAGTGTCAGCTTCCTTTTTATAAATATAAAACTATGGAAATGTACTGATGTGTGATCAGAATTATAATATTTCTGTCTGAGGCAGAATTTCCCCGATTCAAATTGAATCGATTCTCGAGATCAGTGAGGATACCATCCTTAGGTCCGATGGGTTTACCATCATTGTCGTTGTAACTGTCGTTACTTTTGTTGTAACTAATTATTTATTATTGTTCCTGTTATTTCTGTCAGCTCTAATCAGTGCTAACAGCTGACCTGATTGGCCTCCCTGGACTTGTTTGGGGTGTAACAACAAGAACAATATTAATATTAATATTTATAACAAGGTGCAATAAACATACTTGTTCTTCTTTGTATTACTTAAGTTAAGTTACTGTGTTGTGTTGCAGGTGCTGATGTGGGACAGTTCTCCAGTTTCATTGTACTGTTTGTACATGTATGACTGTGCAATGACAATAAAGTTATCTTATCCTTTTTCCTTCTCTGGGGGTTTAATGACTGTAGCGTCCAAAACGTGCTATTTGCATAAACTTGCTGTGTCAGCAGCACGTTACGCTGCCATTACGTCGACTATCCGATCCAGCTTCAGTGGACTGATCTGTGATCCAAACATCGGGCTGACGTCGTTAACGTTTAACTCTGCAGACTTTTTGAATAATCCACGTGTTTTTCATGCTGTGAACCTTTTTTTGAATTTCAGTTTTGCTTTAATTTTGAGATTTTGTTTTTAATCTTCCAACAACAGCTTTGCTTTCTGCTGTTTAACCTTCTTTACGCCTTCACTTGATTCCTCTCTCCAGCTAATCATCTTAGGCAGTGAGGCTCTCTC